TGAAATCAATAATCTTAACGTTAAAAATTTCTTCGAATATAATTTTTATTATCGATTAAATGTCCATACAATCTCAATTCTTCGCTATTTTGAAAAATGTCATTCTTGAGTTGCAATTGCTACGAAAAATCGAAAAATAATGGCCTATATTTATAGGGAGCAAACTTTTTAGCAGAAGTATTCTCGCAAGTGGTGAAAGTAATATCAATTGACGATGTCTATTGATATTTCGTAAATAACGAAAATTTTATAAACGACAAATACAACGTTAACGTACATATTCTTAAACTCTAATGGATATAACGAACAAGCCATAGAAATTCGTATTGACATTATAATAGGATTAAAAAACACATTGCAATTTACGAGTATGTCTGCTGTATCAATAGACACGAATATAGGAATTTTCTAAAGCAAAAATAATATTTTTTGAAAAAAATGTCATGATAACATTTTCTTTAAAGGCACTCAAATGTCAGTTTTATTAAAAGACGATAGAAAATGGAATATTTTAAACTTACACGAAAAACCATGTTATTTATTTATTCACGTCAGCTTGAAGCTAAACTTTTCATTCTTTTAAAAAATATATGTATTAAAGGAGCATAAACTATTCTAATAATAATTAATAATTCTTTGTATTTTTTGTAACGTACAAATTTATCAATTTTTACTTGCTGTTAAACAGAAGTATAATCGCTTTATTCGTGCGATCTTTTGTCATAACAATAAAAAAGAAACAATGTTCTCCGTAAAACATTTTCGCAATATTTTATTTTATTCAAAGCTTTGCAGTTCTCAGATTAACATAGTCAATTGATACTCTGGTTTATTATAAAGAGATTAAGAATTATTAAGTTGATGTGTTATTTATATAATTATCGGATTATATATAGAATTTAATATTGTATCGTTGTAGACAATGTTAAATTTATTACGTACATTGGTATACGAATTTAAAGTCATTTCTTATTTACGAATACATTTTTACTGGTCAGAAGTCAACGATAAAATATTCGAGTTTTATCCTCGATATTGTGGAAGACAGGGAAAGCAGTTGACAACTCCACTTTCAGAACCTGTCGATAATACTTATCCAACGATAGCAGACGGATATCGCGTGATAAGAGCAAACAAATATATTTTTAGAGGAAATAGCAACTTTATGCATTTGAAATTAAACATTATCATATCTCGATCCATATCTCGATTTTTGGGTCTCGAGTGTGATAAGATGCAACCTAACTGTATTGTACAAATACGTTCAACGACTAATTGTTTACGACTTGCACGTGCATATACAATAATCACCGACTACATATATTTCCACGAAGTTCTCCCCATCAACGTAAATTATTCGACTATTCGATTTTCCTTAAAGCAAAGTCGCAATTGTATTTCCTGCTACGTTTAATTTATCACCGGCAGATTCGATACGCGAGTTTTTGCATGAATACAAAACATCGTGGAACCTATCGTAGAGTATGATGTATTCGAAGATTTATAGCTCCTGCAATTTCTTTTTTTACATCAAAATACAAACATATCTCTTCACGTTAGCAATTTTTAATTTTGCTTGTTTGGTAATCGCTAGATAAATGTTTATTCCTCGCCGACACAGCTGGTTCATTTTCTTTCAGTCTTAAATAATATCACAATCTGTTGTTGCTAAGTATGCATCTGATGCACATAATATTAGAGCCGTGTCCAAAATGATTCATCGCGATTATACGATAATTTTTATTCGCCGTGTATACACATCGATAAATCAAATCCCCGGTGTGTTCCGAGTTGATCGTTAATATCGACGGTGTGAAACTTGTCCGAAGGGGGGGAGGGGGGGAGGGAAGACGGATGCGATGTCGACGGGACGCGCAAGAAGAAGTTTCTTCAGTCGCGAGACATTGTTGCATTGCTCCTCTAATCGCTAATCAACGGACGCTCGTCTTCTAACGAAGCTTTAATCTACGATCCGCATAGAATCGGTTAATTTCGCAGCGCCGCCAAGAGATTACGTGGCAATTAGCTGATATAGTCTGCCTATTAGACCGATAAATGCGCGAACGTAAGTCAAACGTATGGTTAGCCGACGTAAATTGACTAATGATCCGTGGCATCGCGCATACAATGCATACATACAACGGTAAATTGACAATTCTCTTTTTGTCTACCTCAAGGCCGCGAGGATCGATTTTTCATTTATTAAATTCCGATAAACCGGTCTTTTTTATCATTTCAACGTTCAAAGATTTTCCCCTTTGACCTTTTTACGGACTTTGTACATAAAATTATTCAGACACGTGTTCCTTCTCTTTGAGGATGATATACAGCTCAAAATGTTATGTCTACTCTGAATAATATAGCAACGTTAATAAATAATTACTTACATATGCTATAGTGAGAATTTATCATCATTATATTCTTAATTCTTTTATATTAACATCTTTATATAAATTATTGATATGATTTTTAGTTGATTTAATTTACGAATATGTAAAATATTCTAACTCGATCTTGTAAATTCATAATTGTGTTTAATTAAATTTAATTTATCGTAATTAGTATGTAATATAATATTATTATCGCTTTTTCAGCGATAAAACATTTGCACATTAAACGTTCTTGGAGAATTGACGTCACTACTTTGCAATATCGCAACAACCGACTAAATCTTGAAGCCTGTCATTAGTTACAACAGTCGCATGTTATGACAGTAACGATGAATTTATAAAAATCGTTCTAGAAGATGCAATGATGCGAAAGATATCTTTTAACCTCGGCGATAAGCAAGTTTTTTCGTTTTCATTAAAGGAAATAAAAACACTTTGTGGAGGAATTTCTCTGACTAGCTGGCTGATATTACGCATTCTCATGGCTATTAATATACAGAATCGCAAGAAAAACACAGGAAGAAATATTAAATTGGATGTTTCAACATATTATTAAATATATTATCTGATACAAAAAAAAGTTATTTACATATTTCTTCATTATCGCTCAATATCTACACATTTTATTTAACATTTTATTTAACATTTTATTTAGTTTTATTGTGGAAGCCTTTTTTCGCGACTGAAATAGCTCATCCAGAACAAATAATGTTCCAGAGCAAATAATCTCGTTAATCAATTTGTAAGATTGATATCCATGTAATTCTCATTTTATTTGCATCAGTACTAATAAACAAACTACATAAAAACTCACCGCTCGTTTCGCAAAACGAGCTTTCCCTTGGCTAAATGTAATTAATGCGTGCTTTTTAATTATCGATCACCGTTTACTTAACAGAATTGAGATAACCGCGGAGCTATTTTGCAACGTGTGCATGTATCGCGATATCGAATGTTGAGTTTATTTCCACGCTAGGATGATAAAGGCCAATAGCACGAGCCATTATCCAGTAGCGACGGAGTCGAAAGTCTAATCTTATGCCGACCGTTGAGTAAATATCCTCACTAAATGATCTTTCGCCGTTCGGAAATACGGTAAATAGGCAAATATAGCCTCTGTAAATAGTTATGTCCGACAGAACCTGTCTTCGCGCGTCGCTCTATTATATTGGAATAAAGAAGATAAAATTTTTTTCTTGACATCAAAAACCATTATCTGCATGATATGACTCAATAACACGATTTTGATTTATCGAATTTTTGGGCTATTTCGTAAGCACCGATAACATTGATGAAATCTTTTATACAGATGCAATATATCATATTGATAAAATAATTTATTGCAGTAACAAGAAAGGAATAAAAAGAATATATATTTGCAGATATATATATATATGTGTGTGTGTGTGTGTGTGTGTGTGTGTGCATCATATATCTTTTTATATATAAAAGTGAATTAAAATGAGATATATTTATATATGTATATATAAGTGGTTGCAACTTTCACAGATTTAATGTTCATTCATTGATTAATAAAGAATACGATAAGATTTTGTCATAAAAGAATTTATTACAAATAAGAATCTAGTCGATCATCAGAATAGGGTGTTATTAGTCAATTTGATTCATAAGAAGATTCTATCGCGTGCCTTCCGTAATATATTTTTTTATCACACGCCTCAGATAAACGTATTATTTCGTTTTCTGTCATAAATATTTCACCCAATAATGCGCAGACAGACGAATGGGGAAAACTGTATTTTGAGATACAATAGCCAGGAAAAGTGTATCTGACGCGTAAAGCATTTTGTTGTTCGTACGGGCCAAACAATCTCTTACAGCTCGTCGATAAAAATAGTACTCCAATCGGAACAGATGAAGAGGAAATCCTTGGAGCTATGTATCGTGATCTCGAAGAAAAATATTCGTAAACTCGACATAAATTTCAAAAATTGATGCATTATTCTTTGCAAAACATTTTTACGAATATTGTTCGTTGCGCAAAATTAGGATTTAGTATCGGGAGATAGAATTTTAGACATTAACATTACGTAAGAGTAAAAGGAATCTATGATGCAAACAACCACGTGAACAAAACTTGAAAATAGTTCCTAGACACATTAATGATAATTTAAATGGAAATGCAATAGCAATTGAAGTAATGTTTAAATTAAAATTTGCTTCTCTATTTACTTAAGACTTTTAGTCACACTTAAGATCAGTCAACACCCGTCTAATCATCTAATATCGTCATAATTCTATAGGGAAGAGAATTATTATGATGAGTCATTTTATTTTACAATGGGTATGAAATTATTATATTATACTATCATGAATCACAACGAATTATATCTATACATATATCGCTTGCGTGTCGGATATTACACAGACATCAATTACGTTAATGACGAGATTGTTCACGATATTATTGAATCTACGTATGATTATGTTCAAATCATTTATACATGTGAGAGCTTTTGATTTATTTGAGAGAAGAAATATTATTAGAAAAATTAATTTCTAAACAAAATATAGATTTTGTATTAATATTTCTTTTAATACATGAGATTAAAGTAAATCCTATTTTTACACAGAGAGTTAAAATAATTAAATTCTATTTTAATACAAAGAGTTAAAATAATTAAATTCTATTTTAATACAAAGAGTTAAAATAATTGAATCCTATTTAACTTTATTTAACTTATCAGAAGTTAAGAAGTGAAGATTATTTTGCTATGTGAATTAAAATCGATGACCCGCTATTATACACTTATTCGAGAACGACAACTAAGAAGGGAGGGAGGATGTGCGTCACGGCGGGACCCGACCACGAACCAGTCATGAAAACTCGTAATTATTTTGCGAAAAAATATCACCTCAGCCAGGAATCGAAACCTGGATCTCCTGTTTACCGGGCAGGCATCTTATCCCTTCGACTACCGAGGCACGTGATGATATTTATCGCAAATAACATATTTAGAATAACATGTCAACAATACAATGATACATATATATATATACGTATATTACAATATACACATATACATATATTCTTTCGAATCCCGAATTACTGTTATTTCTATTAACGATTGCGAAGTGCGAAACGAGTCATTAAGGTCACATAGAAGCATGTTTCACTTGCATGTGATCCAAACTAAGATTCACTTTGAAATAAACTATGTCGCATGAGACACTAATACGAACAGCTCATATCATTTAGCTTCTGTCTCATTATACTTGATAATGAATTGTAATACGCACTTGTCTGTTGTTAAGCACACTAACTTTTGTTTTTTTTTTTTTTTGTTATACGACAAGTTACACAACAACTGTGGATTACGTTTTTCTATTATCATCGTTCGAAACGGAAATGCCTCTAAGTGCCTACCTAGTCGTCGAAAACAAAGGCGATTTTGATGGGAGTGACTTACCTGCGCGAAAATCACTTGCCGGCATGACGGAGCGTCTTCGTCTGCGATAATCACAACACACAGCACAAACTTTCTGGAACGACTGGACTTCCGTTGGTCTTTAACGACGAAGGGAAAGAAGGGGGACGCCCGTGCACGCCGTCGGTCGGCTCTCTTGTGAACAAGAGAATCGTCGTAACTCCGTTCTGTCTGTGGAGGACACGCGTGGCCTCTCTTCTCGCGATGTAATGAAGTAGCTATACGCACGGGACTCTCCCTACTTCGACTACCGCCGCTCGTTATTCATTCGTACGTAAAATCAGGCGGGAATGCTAATTTCAGAAAAGGGGCTCTCGCGCGGGGAGAAATATCGACGTTACCGTTTATGCGCCGTGCGTCAATCAAAGTTTTTATTAACGAAAGATAACGCATGCACCATACGCGGATCATCGCTTTCTGCTTCTCGTAAAGTTTCCTTGATACTTAAAAAGACATTATAGTTTATCCTCACCCAATGCGTCGTCAATTATATATAAATATATATATAAATTATATATAAATTTCTTTAATGGTTAAAGTTAAATTTTCCAGGTTACACGATAGATATTATAATGTTTTTAATTTCTTTTCATTGGATTTTTTTTTGTTTCAAGATGTTTTTGTTTCAAGTTTTTGTTTCAAGATTTTGTTTCAAGATAATGAATAAAATTACATGATTTAATTAGTTATGCTGTCTCACATTGAAATTATGTATTCTGTGATGGTTTTTCTTGACGTGAAATAAATAAACAAGAGGATAATCAGCAAAATAATCAAAATCCTAAAAAAAGAAATAACAACAAATTTTAACTTAGTTCTGTACAAGTGTTTTTTTTAAATTAGACGTTGTTTTTCTGTATGTATATTTTCTTAACTACGATCTGAGCCTATGATCTTAGGCTATGCTAACCAACGATTGAAACTGAGAAACTTTTTATACCACGAACAATGCTAGGAAGTAATTTTCTATGTCGTTAAGTTTTTAATCTTTTCTATCTCGCGATTTATAATACTAATGGAAAAATCCAAGACTACGTGGGATTAATTATCAAACGAACAATGACTAGGAAACTTCTTAGAACATTATGGGATGTTATTGTATATTTTTGCTAGTATTTTAACTTTTTAATTCTCTGTCGTATTTTAATTCATTGCATAATATTCACATATATATTTGCTACTATTCTAATTTTTAAAAGTTATTTTTAGATTGATATTCTCTTTCACATTCCGTAATCGATTCTCATGAATATCGAACGGTAAATTCAGAGGATATTAATTTTAGAATGAAGTATTTTTAAATCTCATAACACTATACATTTCGTTTTTTCGAGTTGTTATTTTTACGTTCTTCTATTATAATACGCCTGTAAACTCCAGCTAAAATCCAGTTTTTCAAGATTCAATTTATATACGATCGTCATGTGTTTTTTTTTTAAATAGCAAGTTAATTCTCGATTCATTCGCGACTCGTCAATTTAGCTGATATGTTAATATATTTTTTTCTCTCCAGACTTATCGATAAATCGCGAATAATAAATTTTTCATGACTTCGACGTAATGATACATATATATGCATTTTTCGTGACTGCGACGTAATGATACATTATATGAAAACACTGCAACATAAATACAAAATATTAACTTAGAAAAACTGGTAGTAAAATCGTAATCCTGCAATAAATTGCATTTTCGCGCAATATTTATTGCCGCTATAAGCTACTTACATCACAGATACTCGCAAACTCCCTCGGTATCCCTTTTAAAAGGAAAAAATTAATCTTTTAGAAATTATACTACTTTCCTAGGGCATAAATATTCGCGGAAGATGCCTCTCGGAGGGAAAAGCACAACTCGTTAAAATATCGCATGAAATTTATTCGAAAAAGCCGTATCCCATTACAATTCAGTATGCATACATGCAACAGTCGTGTAATCTGTAATTCGATCTTATCCCCGACATCATCCGCGCGCAAACGAAGCTCGAATTCCAGATCGGAATCTAGCGCGCCATTTCGCGCCTCTGGCCTCTTAAAGTTATCGTTATCTATACAAGAGAGAGAGAGAGAGAGAGAGAGAGAGAGAGAGAGAGAGAGAGGAGAGGAGGAGAGAG